TAATTCTCAAAGTTGAAACACTTTGTTTTTCTTGTTCAAATGATTCATTGCACGTACATTTGCATGATCAACACAAGAACCTGGAAATTCAACAAAGAGATAAGTTCGAGACTGCATTCTTTAGTACCGAAGTTTGTTGGTTAGGTGTGGCATCTATCTTTACTCTAACAAATAAAGTGAATTAAAACACTTCAAATTTAATTTTGATTTTCCAGTTCAACATCATATACTGTTAATGGTGCAGCATATCAATATATTTTCAGAAGCATGTCTCCATTAAAAAAAAGTACAACATCAGGTAAACTTGCCAACTTCATTTATCAATGGGTAGTATCTTCATCCTTTTAAAAGCTATCTTAGAGTCTATTTAATGATAATTTCTATATCTTTTTGCAAGTTACTTGGATATCATTCGTGTAACTGCTCAAGTTTTGTCTAAATTTTACGTGCTGGTTTTCACCATCTTTGAGGTTGTTGATTCATGTAATCACCTCAATCTACGTGAAATGTTCTATGCAACAGTTTTTAATATATCCTCAAGTCATAGTCTGAATAAAAGTCAAGTGTTTTAACACTATTGACTAGTATTTTATGCAAATTTTAAGATACTTTTTAGTCTGATGTTGAAAAGATGTTTATGATGATTGGTAACTATAGTTTGGTCTAGATTGAATTATATTCTATTTCGAACTATTCCTTTATTTTCATGCATACATACTAACGCGAGAAATGATTAATATTTTTGATTTAAATTCTAGTAATTATGCGAGATGTTGTCTATGATTTCGAATAACATACCTTAATTAGTCATCAAAAGTTACTCGTATCGATGCTAGGATATCTCGTTGTAGTGACAAAATATTGCGATATGTCGATGCACCGGCAATTCGGTTTGTAGAATTTAATGGTGAATAGTAAAGAAAAATAAGAAGAAAATATTATAATCTCTAAAAATTCAATACCGATTCAAGCAGAATTGAAATGTTTTCATTGAAGTCCTTTAGAATCTCTTAATGCAGTAAAAGTTTTGGGTTGACCCACGATTGTTTTGTGTGTAACTTGAAAACATTTCTGTGGCCTAATGAATTGTACAATTTAATGTAACGTTTTTTCAGATGTACCTGCAGAAAAAGCTTTGTAGGCTTTGTAAATCTGTCAATTCTTCTTCAATCCGCGGCGAGTTTGTTTTAGAGACTATAGTACTTCTTTATCATCTTTCTTCGCTATTCATCATTACTTTCTATAAAATTAAATTTGTGATGCACAAATATATTGCACTATAAAATACTGCAACGTTTTGTCCATGGCGATTTATCCTTCCGACAATTTTATTGTAGCACATAGTCTGCAACCAAATATCATAGATGATTTATCCTACGATGAAAATTTGGTCGCCACCGGTATCACTCTGTGGTAATAGTCCTTAAGAATTTACAAATACCACCTCCAGATAGTCCTTGAAAGGTTACAATTATGCCCTTGTTAGCGTTCACACTCACGAAGAGAAACGAACGCAGTAAGAAACATGCGTGCTTGTTTTTCTCTCGCTGTCTATTCTTTGAAACAAAATTGTTTATAGACGAATATAAAAATAAGGACAAAAACAGAAAAGAATACAAAGTTTAATCAACGTCAAAGAACAGAAGCAACAGAAACAAAATGATGATATCTACGAGATCAGACAAACAAAAGAATAAAGAGGATCGAGGTATATGTTATTAAAATGCACTGCAATAACCTTCAAGGTAATCCTGAAAAGTTACAGATATACATTCATATAGTCCTTGAAAATTTACAGGTATGACATCAAGGTAACTTGCAAAAAGATATAGATATTATCATTGGATAGACCTTAAAAAGTAATATGTATGACCTTAAGATAGTTCTCAAAAGAATAAAGCTACTATTCATTGGTAAGTAAAATTGGCAACTTTACTTGATATTGCACTTATCTAATGGAGACATAGTGGTGAAAATTTTTTGATATACTACATCATTCTTAGTATACGTTGTTAGACGGGAAAATCAATTGATTAAGTTTCAAGCATTATAATTCACTTTACTTGACTTTACCGGGTAAAGTGAAGTTAGAAATTTTGTTCTCCTTGCAACATTAAAGATAAAGTGCCATCCCGATCAACAATGGAAAGTGCGAAGAGACAGGGCTTCATTTCGATATTCAATCAGTCAGTGGTTTAAACAAGTGAATGGGACAGTAAAAGACATGTTCCTTCCCAACAGCATAGTTACGTCTCGCAGTCGAATGATCATCGTTACTTACGCGAAAGAATGAGAATTTTAGAAAAACAGATTTTTCAGGCGTTTATGATATGCCAAACGCTCGTTCAGAAAAATTTTCAAAATAATTTTTGAATAAAGTGACAAATCGATTAGGATCCCCCATAGTTTTTTTTATTGTAGGGCTCACAGAAAATTCGACAGAATGTTGTTTTAACTATTTTCATCAATGAAGCCATTCACTGTGCACTGAGATAAAAATAAGAGGAACGTACATGTTGCTATTTTCTATGATATGTCTCGAAACACTGATGCCAACATAGTGTCATTCTGAGTCAAACACTGTTTGGTCCTAAGCAATCAAACTCTCGAATCAAGGTTTTACTTTTGATAGTTAGCACATGGATAGAAGTCACACTTTCATTATGCGTATTCCTATTCATTTTATCAAAGAATGAAAAGACTTACTTCATTGATAATTTATCACTTTATACTAGATCTAATTCGTACATGCTTATCTTTGCACTACTAGAACAAGGATAAAGAGATTTATTGCCGATGAAATTCATCTATGTAAAAAGAATAGTCGAAGTATTTGAAAACGATTTAACAGGGATTATATGTCCTTTAAAATCTACCTGGCTTAGGACACCTGTCAGTATAGTAAGAGATGCGCATTTGAGTTGCACGAAGACATGATCTTTTCCTTCGTTTTGTTTTTGCTCCAATTTGGGTGCAATCCTGAATCATGACATTTGATGCTAACAATGTGTTTTGTAAGCAACGAAGATATACACATCTTGCTAGAACATTTTTTAACGCAGTTTGATTGTCATTTACAATCGTATGCAACATATTATCATGACGTTTATGATCCTATATGATTGAGATACGATTGTAATTCTTCATATTTTCTTTCGGCTGATTTACGAACATGAGAGCCTGTATTCGGATGTAATAAACTATTCTACCGAATGGTCGTCTATAGTAGTCACAGATTAGCGTCATTTTTTCAACGTATGTCATCATATGCAAACGACTATGGTTGTAAGTGTTTCGTATAGACAGTGATAAACGCGCTTTCAGTAATTTATAGAATGAAACTGTTCATGCTTTGCATTGAGAAACATTTTAGCTCAGCAACAAAATGATAGGTACAATGATCTTGAACCAAATTAGAATAGGATATTACCTAGTTTGGTAGCGATCGAGTTGGTGAATATTTCAGTATAGTAGTGAGACATAAATGTACACCGACTTGTCGTATTTTTTCTTGTTTTTACCAAGTGGCTCATCAAGCAGATGATATTGTTAAATTTTTGTGCTTAGATTGGCTCACAGCCATGATTTAGAATATTAATATCACATTTCATAGCGTGTTTCTGGTATTGAAAATAATTTACAATTGCTTTCTTCAGAAGAAATTTTTCTAGAATATTTTATTCAAAACTTCTCAAGTTTCATTCATTCTATTATTTATTGTGGCTATTCTAATGAGTACTTCATACATTCGTCTTTATATTACAATTATTATTTTATCAATTTGTTTCGTTATTAATGCACAAAGTGATCCCCTTTATACTTTGGAATCAACTATAATTTCTCATGGTGGACAAGTACTGCGAATAACTGATTCACAATACAAAGCAGCAGCTACTCTTCATAATAGAGCAATACAAACGTGGCCTGATCTCATATTACGTCCTGCAACTTTTGAAGATGTTTCATTAGCACTTTCAACTCTTTCTTCTCTTCGAATACCTATTCGTATAATGGGAGGCAGACATAGTTATGGTGGCTATTGCAGTCATCAAGGTATAGTTATTGATTCTGCACTGTTAAAAGACCTCAAATTTGATTGGGCAACTGAAACAGTAAGAATGCAAGCAGGTATTATATGGGATGATGTTTATAAAGCTTTAAATGGATCGGAATATGTTGCAATGGGTGGATTATGCCCGACAGTAGGTGTTGTAGGGTTTACATTAGGAGGTGGTTATAATGCGATGTACAGTCGTTCGTATGGTTTTGCATCCGATAATGTTCTTAACTTTATAGTAGCATTATACAATGGAAGTGTTGTGACAGCATCACCTACAACAAATTCCGACCTTTATTGGGCACTTCGTGGTGGTGGAGGAGGAAATTTTGGTTATGTTCTAGAAATGACACAAAAAATACATCGCATGAATGGAACAAAATTGCCTTATGGCCAATTTTCATTTTTAAATATTACTTGGGTAAATGTAGACATTAGAACAGCTCTTACCAATTGGTTAACATTTTTAAAGAATGTTGCTGATGACGATACTCGTATTTCTTTCAATGTAATTGTGGCTGTTAACAGTGGAGGTAACTTTCTTATGATGTACTGTTCCTTTAACGGACCACAAGTAGAAATCGATTCAGTATTTGAACCATGGCTATCACAAAATCCGAAGCCAACCTTTTACAGTGTATTCAACTATACACAAAATGATATAAGTAGAGTGTTGGGTATTCCATTCCCTGTAGTAAATCGAGAACATGTTTTATCAGCTATGGCTATTAATATCACTGACGCTATGTTGGATGTTATTTTGAATTTTTATCCTGATTCCACTGCTGATATTGGATCATGGACGGAACTTATTTATCTCCATAATGCGAACAAAGATAAAAATACCGCCTATGCTTTTCCTGATATTTCATTTGATATTGCTCCAGGTGTTTCATGGAGGAATCCCGATACTGACCCTAATGCAATTGAAATGAGTGAAAAATTCTTAGAGAAGCTAATAGCTGCAGCAGCACCTACAAAAAGTATTGTTGGAGCATATCTTAATTATATTGATCCATATTTACGAGATTGGCAAACCATGTATTATCGTAATAATTGGGATCGTCTACGAGAGATTCAAACAAAATGGGATCCGACATGGTATTTTCGCTTTCCACAAGGTATTCCACCCTATAATAAACAGCTGAACGACAGCACAGTAACTAACACAAGCGTGATTACTGTTGGTAGCCTAATTATGCTAGTATTGTCACAATTTTTTTCTTTCATGTATTAACATTTGCTATAACTGTCAAAAACTCACAGACAATACAGAAATGACTTCAATTTACGTTGATAATTGAAATAAAATTCTTGATGCATTAAACAAAGATTGTTGCTTTATAACAAGCACATAATAAACAAATCTACAGTGTGCCAACCACTTTTCTAGAAAAAAATTCTTTTTTTAATTTTGTTCTCTCAGTTAGACATAGCATCATGGGAAACGGTCTGTAGCCAAATTGAAAAATTTTCTTAATACTTAATGTTTGGAGATTTAGCTGATATTTCAGGAGCAACTCAGATTGATTATAACCGTACGGTATTCTGCTCACTTTTTCTCTCTTGGTCACGCTTCAGAGCTGCCCTCGGTAACGGGAAACGGTCGGTCCAGTGTAGATCTTTTTTCGAGAAATTGAATATAAAAGTGGCTGTTTTTTTGCAAATCAAAAGCTTTTTATCAATCCTAACCAAACATGAAGCTTTAAAAACACGAGTGCATCTGCAAGAAAATTTCAGAAATTCATCTTGACTTGAGAAATATTTTCTCAGTCGATACATCTCATACAACTTTTTCGAAATATTACAGCTTTTTGCGCATAAATGTATTGTTTTTAGTTTTTTAGGCAAAATATGCTGCATCATGCACGACTCGAGGTATCGGTGTGGATGTGGGTGGGGTGTGAGGTGTGGGTGATAAGAAGATCGACACCCACACCCACCCTTCGCTAATGTCTAGCCTTGTATCACATATAGATGAAAATGGTATTTGTCGCTGGATATCATGTAAATACTCATCTAACTGATTTTTTCCTTCGTTATAATTAACACGTCTATTGCCAATCGCTGCAGGTAATAAGTACTTAGTTCGATCTGATCTACACATAAATCGATTTGAGATATTCAGATGACATGTAGGGAATGATTCATCTTCATTATAATAACAATCATTGAATCCATCACCAACATGATTATATGAAATACATTTTAAAGATTGATTACAATGAAAATAGGATAAATTGACACATGACATTTCGTTACTAGTTTTCGAACATAGATGAGAAAGACTTCGGAATACGCTAGTCAACATATGAAAATGCTCTCTTCAATTTTCTGAAATCAGATCAAAACTGTGAAAGCATGTGCGACCATCAATTATTTGAATCGGAACTATTCTCTATAATAGTGTAGGACATTTCTGTGCATCAAAACATACAAAGTCAGGTGCAACATTGATTTTAAACTCATTAATTGATCGATTGGTGAAATAGACAAATTGAAAATATCCATACAAAGTCGGTTATGTAGGTAAAATTAACCATTCATTCAAATAAGAATTGGCTAAAGATTTACAGTTTGTATCCCAAGAAACTTCAAAATATTCATGTGATGAAGACGCGATACTCCGGAAAATGATACTTAAATTGACGCGAAATTACACAGAAAGCGTTATGATAAGAATAAATCAGAATATATTGAAAGATAAAGTATCGAAGAAAAAAAAAAGAATAACTATGTCTTACATATGAACAAGAAGCATATGAGCAACATGGTTTGTTAACGATCTAATTTTGCAAAAAATATAACATGTATTTTAGCATAATGCACTTTCCTAACGCTAATTTTTCTATGCTACATGTTTGTTGACATTGTTTATATTAGTCTGAATCAATCAGTACTGTAGACTACTGTTAAGAGAAATTTTCAATAAAAAGCTAGTATTAGCGACGTGACACAAAAAAAGGACATCAAATTTCATTGTATGAACTGCAGTTTTGAAAACTAAATGTTATTCTGCAGACAATTCATGAGGTTACACAATTTATATGCATAGTTTAACTAGGCATGCCTAGTTTATTCAAAAAAACGGTGTAGTTTGTGTTAGCGATGTGACAAAGTGTCAATATACAAACAAAAAATGTTTTCATAACTGAATAAGAAGCTCAAAACCAATTACAATTAATAAAAATGCGCCTGGGCAATCTCTAGACGGTCATAAAACAAAAGTTTTTGTTTTAGGACTGGATAGAATCAATAGAAAATCGATTTTTATAAGAAAGCTTTTTTTGAAATTCCATCTTGTTCAGAAGTTTTATATGGATGCTGTTGATACCGTAGAATCTATCTGGATCCTTTACTAGCATCATTTTGAAAGATATTCACAAATTACTTTTTAATTAGTTAAATCAATTTACTTCGTAGTCAAAAAAAAAGAACTTATTCAGAAAAAATAAGCATTGTGAAGAATGAAAGTGAAATGAAAGATGATTGTGTCGCATTTTGTCAGAACTGGTCCATATATAAATGTGAAAATATTTGATATTAATTATTCATTCTAGTTTTTCTGTCAGATTCTACTAGCTTCTGTTTGATATTGGATTCTACGAAGTTGTAATAGTATTTCATACTGATGTGAACTTATTCTTTTTAAACATATTGTATTGCGATATTTTTCTAAAAAACTTGCTTGCATCATCTTTATCATCTTTCATACATTATTGAACTAAAAACTATACCTATTATATACAATGACGATTTCGAATAGGTTAGAAACATTATTTCGATACACAAGAAACAATTTTCAAATATGATTTATTGGTGAAAAATTGTTCTCGATGGGTAAAAATAATAGCATTGGGAAATGACGGCCAAAAAACCAAATTAAGTGTCGTATTTAACATTCAGATGAACACTGAATCAAGCTGATTGTTTTTTCACTATTCGGATAATTCTAAACTTAGTATTAGACTGAAAAGTTGATGCTGTTTGTTTGTGCTTTTGACGTATGTTTCTTAAAGCAAATAAGTTCATGCATAGTACAGTTTTGAATCGAGACCATGAATCCAAATTTGACATATATGTTGTAAACTAAGTCCGTCAGAAAAGCAGTTAATCTAAATCTGCAACTGTTTCATAATCCTTCTAACTATGTCAATATAATGGAACATGATTCTGTACAAAGTCTTTGATATAACCAATAATTAGTCAAAACTGAGCATTGACAATAGAGATAAAATTTGTCTAGACATTTTATAACTAGTATCGGTATTGGATGAATAGATCAGAACAGATCGCTAAGCTACAGGTAGAGAGCTGCGAGTCTTTAAAAACCTGGACTCGCGCCCGACCGGATCCGGATCCATTATTTTGCTTCACTGCCGGGTCCAGGTCTAAAGCTTTATCTGTTTCGAGCCTGGATTCACAAGAAAATTGGACGCGCAGCTCTCTAGCTATCGTTACCGGTTCTATCTCTAACAGATGCTAACCTTTCAGTGTTGTCTTATATGTTTTAGCTAGCTGACATTGACAAGTAAATGTTAGTTCTTCCAGAACAATCGTTAAAGAATCCTAGTTTACGTAAAACGCCCAGCTCAAAACATAAAGAACAGAGGGAGCATAAGATATCAAATAGACTCATTGGACATTATTGTTCTTACTTAACTCGTGTTATATACAAAAGTTGTTAGTGGAATTCTTGTGGGATTGAACTGTGAAGCACGATGTATTTTTTCTTGTTAATCACAGAGAAATCACTTTGTTTTATCTATTTTGGGGAACATTTCGTTACTATCTTTTTATATAATCTTTGAAAGATGCAACACAGAAGTAGTTTACATATTAGAAAGAGGTTTTACCAATATACGATCAGTGATTGTATATCGATAATGTTTGTCAAATTCTATGATGGTTTCTCAAGGTGTCTTAGAACAATAAGATTTAGGTCAGGTTTCAATTCTATGTATAATTTCATTACTCAACAATGCTCTTTTGCTTGGTAAGACAGTGCAAACTGATCTTATATGGCTTTCTAGCTTTATCTTTCTAGGTATACTTTCATCTATCAAACTACTTTTTAATACATAAACGAGACAATCCATTTTCTAGTATGCCTTATACTATGAGCTCTTTTGAGAATGAGCAAAGTTATATATTTTTCAAACACAAAAACAGTGGTGATGTGAAGACGTCTCAACAAAAAGAAAATGTTTCAAAACATCGGTGTACAATGCAATCCAATGAAATAGCGTTTCAAAGCATTCGAAGTTAGATGTACATAATATGACCTTTTTCCGACAGTTAGAAATGCATAAAAATCTTGTCCATTTCAGCTGAGCTCTAAGTAAACATCAAGTGCTGAGAGAAGTTGATAAATTTATACAGAACTCAAACCATGTGCTGCAAGCCAAGTATTAATGTCGACTCCTAAAAAGTGCCTTCTTGTTTTGTAACTTCTCGTAACAGAAACATTTTCGAATATTGTTTACCATTGAAGGCGCCATATTCATGACAACTAGAAAACAATGGGATGACTGTAAATTATGATTAGAAACTCTCAGACTGGTAGTAAGCTTTCGAAAATTAGAAAAATGCATTTTTGCAGCCGAAGACGAAGAAAGAATAATTTACACTTCAGATCTTTAGTCGTTACATGCTACCGTTTGAAAACAGAAAAAACACTTAGGTTTTCTCAGTAGTTAAATGAATATAGAATTATTCTTACTTACTATAACTTCCATTGGAAAGTAGCGAACAAGGAAATGCTTGTTGACATTTAGTGTCGTTAATGTGATCGAACGAAGTAAACATTGATAAAGTCATTTCTTTATTTCGCCTGTTCGAACAACTATTTGTATTAACTGGCATATCACTCACTTGCAAAAACTCACCATCGCCACATGGAAAAGCAAGAGGATATCGATTAATGCGTTCTTCACATCGGAATGTAATAACTGAATGACAACCCCCATTGACCGAAGCCACATACCGGAAGTAACTTTCTTTCTCTTCACTACCATATGGGCATTCAGTACTTCAGAAGCTGTCTCGTACAAACATTATGGGAATACATTGAGTACCATAATGACATCGATATTCATCATCAGAACATGTTGTCAATCTCTAATGCTTCACACCATTGTTCGTTTTCACCGTTCTTGCAATCAACTTTGCCATTACATATTTGTCGCCAGTCAAGACGTAAAGATCATGGTCCACGATTACCATTAGCTAAAAAGC